GCTGAACCTGTGTGTCCATCTGCACTGTGCCCTGATGTTTCCCCTTTGCAGTTGGTGGAAGTGGGGCTCAGCACAAGTGATCTCCTCAGCACCAGGAATTTCTTCAGTATTCCTGTGCCCATAGGAGCACTCATGTTCCTTCTGTTTGGTATCATCAGTTACCTTGGCACCACTGCCAACTGTGGGGCCAGTATGTTTTTCAGCACCAGAAACAAAACTGTTTGCAGCAATTTCCTCTTAATTCTGGGCTACTCCCTCCCCTTTGCATCAAGTATTTCCTCTGGGTGTTCAGTGCAAAGGAACTGAATGGACTCAGGTTAGTGTCACCTCATATAGCAGGATGAGGGGGTTGGCTATGAGGTGTGAGCACTGCCTCTTTTCAAATAGTGCTAGGAAAAATTTTCTGCCTCCAGTGAGCAGATCGTATACACATCTAAGTGGAATATGTGTCTACATCACATCTTGAAGAACCCAGTTACAGTAAGTTACCATTTCATACATTGCTTGTAGGCTCCAAATACTCTTTGACAAAGGATTCAGCTTCCACTTCCAAAAATAGAACTGATTTAAACTAATGTTCCCTTTATGCTGAATGACAAGACTGAGCCTGTCTGCTTAAAGAAAATAAATATCGTACTCTCTTTATCTTGAAACTGCCCTGCCATCTTGGGCTATAAAGCAAAGCCTGAATTTATTACTCTTGCCCTGGAGCTAGTAGATGTTTGCATTTTATGTATCTTCTATTATCCTGTGGGATGCAGGAGGGGAAACAAGGAGCAAGAACCATGTATTGTTATTGTAGGCTTTCTTATCACTGAAGTTGATTTGACCAAGCCATTTACTCTTGAATATGTTTACGTCATATGATCCCTATTTTGATCATTTGCTCAATTTTTTTAAAGTTTTCCCCTGGAGTTTTATCATTTTACAACACAGGTTTATTTTCCTTTTCAACTGAGAGAACTTAAGTTTGTTTTTTTTTAATATCACTTCCTGTCTGGAAGCCATAGTACAATTTATAAGCATGAGATATTAGGGAATTGATTTTTTTTTTAAAGTTAAAATTCATATGCAGGCAATCATTTTATCCATTTTCAAGGCTGTTTGTGATTGCTGATTGATTGGAAGTATTATTTGTTATATATCTAGAATGGTGCTTCTCGAAGCCTCCGAGCTGCAGTTTGGAGGTTTGCTGAACTTGCTCATCTGGTTCGACCTCAGAAATGCAGGTAAGCTTGTGCTGCTTAAAATCCTTTCGTTGATTCACGTTTTTGGTATGCAGAAGTGTTACTTGTCTGCCATATGTAAAAATAAAACAGAAAAAGTAAAATCAACATCTCTGGTGGTAGTGCTGCTTCATAATCCAAATTCAGCTGTTCGTTTTAATAAAGCTGTTGGCTGGGATTCAGTTGATTTGTCTATGGTTCTTTGAAAATCATAATTCAGTGGTATCACTATCTTTTTTCCCCCCAGATAATATGATTTTGATGTAATTTGAGTATCTCCACCAAGCCTTATTGTGTTTCACTGTTACATATGTTAACTGAAAAGTCTTGACAATGTAGTCACCCAAAATACTTCATGCTTGCACAGTGCTGTGCATCTGATCTCAAGGAACTTAAATGATCCCCAGTTTTCAGATGAGGAACCCAAACCACAGATTTGAAGAATTACTTTCCCAAGCTTGCCTAAGCAACACAAGGTAGAGGTTGTAAATTGGGCCCAAGTTGCGTGATTTCCTGTTTGTGTTTGTAACTATTACACCATCTTTCTTCACCTCCTTACCTTGTAATCATTTTTCTGTAGCTTGTATGATCCAAAGATCCTATTAAGGATTGGGGCCAGTAGCAATAACTGGGCCTCAGTAGGCCTATCCTAGTTGTGAGCCTACCCGTGGGAAAGTAGGTGGAATCTCTGTCACAAGATGCTGTTGGCAAAAGGTAATACTTTGGATTCTGGTGACACATCTGACGAAGTGTGTGGGATTTGAAATTAATGGACCAAAATTGGTGTGTAAGAGTTCGTCAGCAGGAGGCCACACTAATTGACTCACTGCGAGCCTCTGAAGTTCAGGGCTTTAGGCCTCACTGCAGGTCAACAATCCCAGTGCTAGAGGCCATGCCCTTGTTCAGGGGTGTGGCAACAAATCAACTGTTAAGGCAGTACTCTGCACTACAGTGTAGGGGTCCAGGCCCTGTATCAGGGCGGCATGACAAACAGTTAAGTAATACGTTTGTACGCTAATCAACAGTCTACAGAGCACAGACCCTTGGTCAGGGCAGGGTGACAAACAGTTAAACAGTGCATTTGTAGTCTGAGCAACAGTTTAAGGCTCAGGCCTGACTGCAGGAAGAGCCAGTTTGGAAGGCTGGACCCTGCGTAAGGGCAGGTCAGGCCAGCAATCGATTAACAAGGAGTCCAAAAACAGTTGAGTAGTCCACAGAGTTCAAAGTCCAGGTCTATCTGCAGGCTGAGATGGTGTTGGGTCTACTTGCTG